AAAACTGGGTACCAGCTGCTAGTAGTTTGCAGTGTACATTAATATTTATTTCCCAATCAGAAATAGGAGTGGTACAACTAGCTCAGACACAGTTTCATAATACTTCGTAGCATTTCATTACCTTTAATTGCCCAATAACATTCAAGCTTGTGTCAGCTAATGGTGAAGTGAACCAGAAAGACCTCAATGAATCACTTGGCAGAGGGCTTTTGTTCTTGTTGAATCTATTTGGTACACTGAAACCTTGGGGGCAGCGATGGAGAATCGTTTGTTTTACGCCCCACTTCCAGAGGCCTCAATGATCCAGCTGGCACACTAAAGCCCAATAACCAATTTTTATCCCCCCATCATCATTTCATTTAACCTCACTGTAGATAATGAAGTGAATGCACTACGTCTAATGAGTGACAATTAACAATGTAACAGTGACAGGGCAATCCCCAGCAGAGGCAGCTTACTGTCAAGTAAATAAAGATAAGCGGTTGTAGGTTTGTGATTCTTCCATCTGATGATGGAGTGCTCGTTTCATTTTTGTTTACAGAGGAGGAAACATGAGCTTGAGCACCAGTGTAATTCATCACACTCGGCTGGGTTCTGCATTTATCATCACTGAGACCAGCTCACTTCCCATTTCCAGCGATTTGTTTTTGTAAAACAAAAGCCGCTCCGATATGAATTCCAGTTTAAACCAGAGCCAAGGCTATATTTTCCCCAGTGCTTTGAGACCTTGAGCTACTTTTTACAAAATGTGTGTGACAATGGCACAGAAAAATGTTTTAAACAGCTCGTAGACCAGTAAAATAGCTTTATTTAAACAACACTTGCACTGCTGACCACTCCCCACTGCTTTATGTTTTGTGTGAAAAGGAGTGAGCGACAGCAGTATTACCTAGATACAATAAGCTACTTACTTTGATTAATGTATGTTAAAATACACTACAGCTACATTTCAATGCTGCGTGTCCAGTTTGACTACAAACTGCCTTCATGTACAGTGTCTTTGCAAAGGGTTTGACTGTGTAATTCTAGCAGGGAGTCTGAACACACAGCATTACTTTTCCCTTCTAACTGTCAGTCAGCAGCTGGTTACAGGCACATTCATGTCAACTTGAGGTATCTTATCTATGCCAATCATGTACTGAAAAATGCACGGTGCAGCTCTAAAGTTTTCAAGACTATCTCTTGTAGACATAGGTACTAGGAAGTAATTTCATTCTAGTTTGTTTTACACTGTGTGGAGCACCAGAAGGGTGGGTGTTTCCCATATTTGTCAGTTACAGGACATACAGTGTTTGGATGGTATTTTAGTTGTGTACTGCTTTGAGAAAGTTACTTGAATTACTTTAATAAAGTACACCCTTCTCACCGGAAACAACACTTGGCTGTATGAAAATACTACTGGCTACCAGCCGGCTTCACCCAGGGTCACAGTAAGTGGAGAGTTTCCAGTGTTCGCTGCCTTGTACTCAGTGCCTCTGATTGAGGATCATGTCCACAGCCTGGGCCAGGTTGTCCACAGTGCCATCAGCCATCACCGTTGGGTGCTTCTCGTCACAGGGCCTGAGGGAGGACAAGCAAACGTATGCGCTTTAGGACACGCAGCACAGGAAGAAACAGGAACAAACAGTCACCTCAGTAAACAAGAAGGACTAGCAGTTTGATGCTATCAGCCACATTAACAATACTGAGCATATAAAGTGGAACAGAGCAGGACACGATGGCCTGAGAGCAGAGTTACTCTACAGGCAGTCTTGTTTAAGCTTGCGGGGAAGGTTTTGGTAATAAATAGGGCTTGTGTCCTCTCAGAATGATCATAAGAGTGCACTTATGATCAAGAGCAATATACTAAAAATGGAGGTTTTCCAGTGTTTTTTTTTTTTTTTTGCAGCGTTATCTTCACACTTAAAGGTGTCTGTGCAGCTGCTTGCCAAAGGCCCCAGCAGGATAGTGCTGTTTTCTGTCTCTATCACCAGCTGTCACACAGTGTTCCATACTTTTCTAATATATCTGAAGGCAATTCAAACAGACCAGCTGGGGACTTTAATGAGAACTGCTAATTCCAAAACAGCCAGTTTCTTAAAATAAAACCAAGAAAATAATTGGCTGACTTAGGCCAGTGGTTTCCAATCTGGTTGTGGGACCCAGAGAGGATGCAGTTGCAAGATACTGTTAGTCTTAACAGGTTGAAAGCTAAAGAGAAAATCATGTTTGTCTAACACAAAATTATGTTTCTCAAAACTTGATTTTGCCATACTAATGGTGTGGCTTGAGTGATAGCAGTGTCTGTCAGTCCGCACTCAGATATCAATGGTACCCAGAGGATAAACCATTAATGACTTTGGTGATCTCCTGA